AGGTGAGGGAACCTGGTCACCTAGTCTCCGCCGTCCACCCGCCCCGGGAGAGTCGGACGTGAACCCTGTGGCCAGCTCCCCGCATGTCACTAGCCCCTGCCTGCGAGTGTCCCCCTAGACGGACTGTCCCGGCCGCTCTGCCCGTCGCCAGGACGGGAAGGGGCTGGAGCCACGCGGGCCTCCCTGCTCAGGGTCAGCTCCAGGTGTAAAGTGACCCCCATGCACACAGGCTCCCGAGCACCCTGCAGGGCCCTGTCCCCCGCCACAGCACCAGCCCCCGGGCATCGAGGTGCAGGGTCAGGGTCTGCTCCTGGGCCCTCGCATGGTCCGCACGGAGCAGGCGCTGTGCTGGGCTTTGGCCCCCCGTGACCAAATGGGCACGTGGGCCTCCGTCCCAGGAGCCGCAGCTTCTTCCCACCCGTCCTCGTGTCATCGCAGAGGGCGACGCGCTCACTGCTGTCCACTGTCCCCCCGTGTCCTCGCCTCTGCCCGGCCAGGCGTCCAGTGCTGCGTGAGAGTGGGAGGGGCGCCCAGGGGTGTCCACGCAGATGGACGGGCCCGGCTGCCCCCACGGGACCTGGGCTGGCGTGTCGGGGTCGTCCCGGGGACGCTGCTCCTGCGCACGAGCTCAGGGCTCCTCCCGGGGCGATGACTTTGCCCCCCGCTTGGCGTCCATGGCCAGGGTCCCGGCTTCTGATGTTCTCGGTTGCTGTGGTGACGGGCGGGGCTGGTTCCCGGACTCGGAGCCGCCCGGGTCCCTGGACGACAGCCCTGGGTGGGGTGTGACCCTTAGGTCAGTGTGGGGTTCGGGCGTCTGTGACTCCGGGGCGTCCCGCCGTGCTCCCCGCGAACTGGTCTGCGGCCTCTTCTCCGGGCTGTGTGTCTGGGTCGGGGGTGAGTGTGACGGGGACTCACCCCCGAATTCGGGGGGCTCCTTCTCTCTTGACTGGAAGAGTTTCCCGGATCGGCAGGAGCTCCCCGGGGCCTGGTGGAGTCGCTGGAAGCGTCCGGCCCGGCTCTGGGCCAGGGTGTCCCGACGGCGCTTCGGGTCCCGCCCGCGGCTGCTGTGTGCGCATCTCTGCGCCTCTTTCTCGGCCACGGCTGCTGGAGAGGGGCTGAGAGCGAGTCCGCCCTCGGGCCACGCCCTCTGCTCAGGACTGTCAAGGGAGCCCCGGGGTCCTCTGCCTCCTCCTCCCTGAGGGTCCGCGTGTCAGCGTTTTCTCCCTCTCGGGGGGAGCCGGGTGGAGTTTGTTCATCGTGTTTGTGTTTTCAAAGAGCCAGCGTTGGGGTGTGTGGAGTATTCACAGCTGCTTTTCTTTCTGCTTCATTATGTCGGCTAAGTTTTGATTATTTCTCTGGCTGTTGGGTTGTCTTGTTGGACGCACAGCACTCGAGCCTGTGGGGTCCATGTCTGCAAGGGACAGACTGTGTCAGTGATGCAGCAGCTTCTCAGGGACCCGGGGTTCACCCCTGAGACCCCGCCATCTGCAGACTCTGGAGCATCCCTGTGTGAGAGCAGGTGAGGGTCTCGTCCCTGGGTGGGTCTCACCTGTGCACAGACAGAGTCACCTCCTCCTTGGGGCTCCCCAGGATTGTGGGGAGCGGGAGCCTTTCAGAGGAGAGCAATGGTGCCCTGGGGAGCTGGGGTCTTGCAGAGGGAGCCCCAGACAGGAATCCCTGCCCCCCACCCCTGCACCTGCTCCCGGTCTGTGCTCTGAGCTCTGAGCCTCCTGGGTCTCCCGGTGTCCCTGGGCCCCTGGGGTCCTGACATGCCCCAGTGGACCCCCAGTCCCGCCCCCCGTCCTGCAGGGTTTGTGTCTGGGCTCACACCCGCTCCCCTCACTGTGACTCCCGCACAGAAATACACGGCCGTGTCCTCGGGCCTCAGGCTGCTCATTTGCAGAGACAGCGAGTTCTTGGCGTTGTCTCTGGAGACGGTGAATCGGCCCTTCACGGAGTCTGCGTAGTATGTGCCAGCACTATAATGATAAATTTCTGCAACCCACTCAAGCCCCTTCCCTGGAGCCTGGCGGACCCAGTACATGTAGTAGCTGCTGAAGGTGAATCCGGAGGCTGCACAGGAGAGTCTGAGGGACCCCCAGGCGGCACCAAGTCTCCCCCAGACTCCACCAGCTGCGCCTCACCCTGGACACCTGCAAACACAGACACAGCCCGTCAGGACATGGCTCTCGCCCACTGCTTCCCCTCCTGCCGCACCCTCCCAGGGATAATGTCCGATTATTTTTTTGGCTCTTTCATGTTCATGCGAGGTCCTGACCCAGTCAAATTCCCCCGTGCTCGGTGCTGGTGGGTCCACAGGATCCTCTGGTCATGACTCCAGGTTCTCAGTCTCTGGGTAGAATAAAATTTACTATTCTTGTCACTAACCCAGTGGCCGGTCAGTGGAGCTGGGATGGTCCCACATGTTACAGGATTATGGACTTTACCTTCATAGTTAATTTCCAGTAGGGGCTACTGTCACCAGAGGAAGAGGTGACTCTGTCTGTGCACAGGTGAGACCCCCCAGGGACGAGACCCTCACCTGTCCAGGTGTCTGTTACTTACTATTACTGGGGGGACCTGGGGAGGGGCGGGTGTGACCCAGACACAGACCCTGCAGGACAGGAGGGGGCAGCACCCAGGCCCACCACGAGGGGGCGCTCCGAGCTCACAGCCCTGGACTCAGCTCATGGCTGTGGGGGGACATGGATGTGCCCTCAGCCTTGACATGCTGTCCAGGCTGACCCCTGCCCTCTCCTAGTGGGTGTCCATCCCTCTGTCCTACTCGGGTCCAGCCTGGGTCCCTCCCCCCACTGTAATCTGGGGTTCGTGGCCTTTTCCACGCGGTCAGTGCTCGTCACAGGGCCCAGGACTCCCCAGGCCTCGTCTCTTCCGTCCTCACGACAGAGTTTCACCGTTTCCTTTTGCGAGTCCTGCCCCCCCATGTCACTCGGGGGTCTCCTTGTTCTGGGGTGACGGCAGGTGGGGTGTTCTCCGCCCTCCCTGTCTCCTGACAGGTGCCCGCAAGCAGAATTCCCCGTGTTCTGTGTGTTCCTCCTCCTCCTGCCCCACGAGGGATGTCACTGTGATGCTCGACAAAACCAGCCCCAACCCAGAGAGGAAGGAGGAGCCTCGCCTGAGAGACCCCAGATGTGCTCATCATAATCCTAATCACCCAACCCCAGGCTCCTCCAGAGATGCCCAACAAGGCCAAAGGAAGCATCACCCCATGGCCAGGGAAAGCAGCTCTGCCCCCGACAGTCCCTGACCCCTCCCCCTTCATTACCCGCCACATCACAGCTGACCATGGGATCCCCACTGCAAGCAGGGAAATGAAATGGGCATTAACCACACACCTCCCTGCTGTCACGTGTCCTGACACTGTTCCCTGTGCACACCTGCCCACAGGTGAGACGTGACTGCCGGGGACCAGCCTCAGGCAAAATGTCATGTCAGGGGTTCCTGAAAGGATGAGACGGCGTCGGCAAAAACGAAAGGGCTGAGGGGAAGGGGCTGAGGTGGAATGAGGAGACACCGACACTTGGTGAGGTGCTGGTATCTTCTGCCGAGAGACTCAGCAGGTCTTTATTCATTCATTATTAGTAAGCAGAAAAAAATACACTGTCATGTGTGAAGCAGAAACAATGAGTGTATTTTATTCCCAGGGACTCCCGGCTCCTGCGGGTCCCAGCTAGACGGTAGCCTTCAAGGTTAATAGATGAAAAACCAGACCTAACGCTAAAACTTACTTTTTCAGCTAGACAATGACCTGAGACCGTGGGGAGCCCCAGTGCACCCCCATCAGCTGAAGCCTCAGCATCAAGAGACTCTTCTACTCACATGGCCTCAGCCGGAGACCAGCTGCTGCTCGGCTCTCAGAACTTTTCTACCTACAAACTTCTTAACTCAAATAGCTTCATTTAAAAACGTTCCCAAGAAACTTCTAGAGAAAACAAAAAGAAGGACCTGCTGCAAGTGTTGTGTTGCGATGCTTGTCAGGCAGGCTCAGGAAGTTGTCTCCATTGAAAGTGGGCCCAATTGTTTAATAATTAGTTTCTAACAGATAATTTTCCGTGCCGTTTATTTGCAGTACACTGATGCCTATAATGTGGTGCATGTAATGTACTTTTTGGGAAATTTTTTTCTTTTTATGACCAAGAACAAAAAGTGAAGGAATGTTAGATCTTCAGCCCCACGGTGTGAGGCCCTTTAGCTTCGCTGCTTGCCAGTGTATCTGGCTGGGGCGTCAAGGCCTCCTGCAGCACTTGACCACACAGACCTCCATCCCCTCATGTTCAGGAAACTCACACTGTTCTCAGCACTGGCTGATCAACCCCCAAACACCCCACACGGGTCCTGTTTCCACAAAAGACCCCACAGAGCACGTGTGAGCACCAGCACCTGGGCCTGTGTCACAGCAAGTAACAGAGGCTCTGGGTCACCAGCTCTGGCCCCTCATAAGGGACCTGCTCATCGTGTGTCATGACCCCACGTCCCAGGACCCTCCCCGGCTCCTCTGCCCAGACCCAGCCAGAGCTGCTATATAGCAGGACACATGCAAATAGGGCGTCCCCTGCTGCTGAAAACCAGCCCGGCCCGCCCTGCAGCCCGCACAGGAGCCCAGCCCGCACCCAGGGTCCACTCGGGTCAGCACGGACGCGGACACTCGCCATGGAGCGTGGGCTGAGCTGGCTGCTGCTCGTGGCTCTTCTAGGGGGTGATTCCTGGGGCAGGATCCCTGAGGAGGTGGGGCAGGAGGGGGAAGCAGTGGGCGAGAGCCATGTCCTGACGGGCTGTGTCTGTGTTTGCAGGAGTCCAGGGTGAGGCGCAGCTGGTGGAGTCTGGGGGAGACTTGGTGCCGCCTGGGGGGTCCCTCAGACTCTCCTGTGCAGCCTCCGGATTCACCTTCAGTGACTGTAGCATAAGCTGGGTCCGCCAGGCTCCGGGAAAGGGGCTGCAGTGGGTTGCATACATTAGATATGATGGTGGTAGCACAAACTACGCAGACTCCGTGAAGGGCCGATTCACCGTCTCCAGAGACAACGCCAAGAACTCGCTGTATCTGCAAATGAGCAGCCTGAGGCCCGAGGACACAGCCGTGTATTTCTGTGCGAGAGGCACAGTGAGGGGAGTGGGTGTGAGCCCAGACACAAACCCTGCAGGACGGGGGCCGGGGCTGGGGGTCCACTGGGGCGTGTCAGGACCCCAGGGGCCCAGGGACATCAGGAGGCCCAGGAGGCTCAGAGCTCAGAGCACAGCCCGGGAGCAGGTGCAGGGGTGGGGGGCAGGGGCTTCCTGTCTGGGGCTCCCTCTGCAAGACCCCAGCTCCACATGGCACCATTGCTCTCCTCTGAGAGGCTCCCGCTCCCCACATTCCTGGGGAGCCCCAAAGAGATGACTCTGTGCACAGATGAGGTCTTCCCAATGACGAGACCCTCACCTGTCCAGGTGTCTGTTACTTACTATTACTGAGGGGACCCGGGGAGGGCGGGTGTGGCCCAGACACAGACCCTGCAGGACAGGAGGGGGCAGCACCCAGGCCCACCACCAGGGGGCGCCCCGAGCTCACAGCCCTGGACTCAGCTCATGGCTGTGGGGGGACATGGACAGGGACGGGGCCTCCAGCCTCGAGCTGCCGTCCAGTCTGCCCTCTGCCCTCTCCTGGTGGGCGTCCATCCCACTGTCCTCGGGTCCAGCCTGGGGTCACTCCCCCAGTGCAATCTGTTGAATAACGTCTGTGCCTCTGAAATTGTGTCAGAACAGATTGTCTGTTCTGCTCTGAGACCCAGTGGGATCACATCACCGTGGTGTCCACACCCCTGTCACAGGATCCGAGGGGCCCGCAAGAAATCTGGTGGGGACTCCTGACCAAGTGTACTGGATCCAGGCCCTGGGACCTGATCCCTGACCCCTTGTGGGGACGGTCCCCTGGCAGCTGGCAGGGACGGGGGTCTGAGAACTCTGCGTGTGTCTCTGTCCTGGCCAGTCCCGACTCCTTTTCTGAAGGGCCCCTGGTCAGCACTGGGGTCCCGGGTCTCCCGGCCTGACCTCTGGTGTCTGTGACGGGGGCACCCGCCACGAGAGCTCTCGGGTGGACCCTTCTCTGCAGAGTCTCCCGGGTTCCCAGGACTGTTGCTGTTCAGCGTCTTGTGTGTTTTAGATAAACATTTTTCAAACTTTGTTTTATTTCTGTGAGAATCTGGTGTATTTCACGGGGATGCATGAGTCTGTGGATCTTCTGGTCACGTCTAGGACAAAGCTCCCTCCTCCAGGGCCTCCCGGGTGGCGCAGTGGATTGAACACCGGGCGGTGGAGCTGTCCGCAGCCTCTGCAGGGGGAGTTCGAATCCCTGCTGGCCTGGGAGATCCCCACATGGGGTGGCGGCTCTCCTGTCCCGCCCGCTCCTCCCCTCTGCTGTGCTTTCGGTCCCTCTGCCTGTTCTGCTCCCGCTCTCTGTCTGGTGAATCCTCTCACCCTCCGGTGCCTCTGGCCTGTACCCCAGTTCTTGTATAAAAATAAATAAATTTTAAAAAAATGTTTCAAAAACAAATCCCACTCCTCCAGCTGAGTGTGGAATGTCCAGCTCTTTCTCCCTCGGGTGAGGCCTTTAGTGTCTTCTCTCCTCTCAAGATTGTTTTCTCTCCTCAGGGCCTTTGTAGATCCATGTGCATTTTTTTTAAAGATTTATTTATTTATTTATATGAGCACTGGGCACAGTCAGAAGCGCGGGAGGGTGAGAGGATTCACCAGAGCCAGAGCGGGGAGCAGAGCAGGCAGAGGGACCGAAGGACACTGCTGAGGGGAGCAGCGGGCGGCAGGAGAGGTCTGCGTGCCATGCGGGACCCTCCTCCGGTGGCCGGGGATTGAACTGGCACTGCAGAGGCTGCGGGCAGCTTTGCAACCCAGCGCTTCACTGCTGCGCCACCGGGGAGCCCAATCCATGTGCATTATTATAAAAATTTATTTATTTATGCATATAAGATCTGGGGTACCGGCCAGAGTTGCGGGGGGTGAGAGGATCCACCAGAGACAGAGTGGGGAGCAGAATAGGCCTACCCAGTGAGAGACACTGCTGAGGGAGCCGTGGGAATATGGGAGAGGTCGGCTGCGCCATGTGGGAAGCTCCCTGGATGGCCGGGAATCGAACTCATGCAGCAGAGGCTGTGCCAGCTTCATAGTGCTGTGCTCAGCCCCTTGCGCCACCAGCGAGGCCCTCCCTGGACACTGGATAACTGCTCTGTGCCCTGTCCACGGTGCTCTGTGTTCTCGGACACAGCCGGGAACCCACAGGGGCGCCGCGTGGCCATAATAATAACACGAATCTGCCCCCGCACGAGCCCACGAGCGCGTCCATGTCTCTCTGTCCTGTGCGTGTCTGTGCGTGACGGGCTGACGTGGTCACGGCACTGTCCTCCCCGCCTGGCCCCGCTGGTTCCCGGGAATCTCCTCCTCGGGCGAGACCGTGACCGGAGCTAGACCCTCCCCTCCCACTCACGCACGCCCCGGGGTGGCGCCTCTGGGGGCTGCGCTCACCCTGCATCCCGCCCCCGCGGGGCCCTTCAGGATCTGACCGTCGCCTCTCGGGGAGCTTTTGCTCTCCCTGCGCGGAGGATCGTGTCCGCTGGACGCCGACAGACCCGGGTCTTCTGCCCAGTTTCCTGAAGGGCAGGGGAGAGAGGACGTCCCTGTCTCGCTCCCGACCTCCCAGGAAGGGCCTCCGCGTGTCGCCCTGAGCATCCCACAGGCGGTGGCTGGTCACGGATGCTCTCACCATGTGAAGGTCTGTTCCTCCCCTGAGGGCGTCCAGGGCCTGCACCACCCATGGGGGATGGACTGTGGAAATGGGGGAAAAAAGTTGATGTGCAATGAGAAAGCACACATGGTTGGCTTGTAGGGGACAGAGGACACCGTGGGTTGACAGAGAGTGAGGGTCCATCTATTCAATGGCCGTCCTGCCTCAGAGACCCAAACCTGCATGCCACCCCCTCAGGGCAGCCATAAAGGGCAGAAGGAATGAAGTGAGAATTAACCATGCACATCCCTGCTGTCACCTGTCCTGACTCTGTTCCCTGCGCACACCTGCACACAGGTGAGACACTGACCACACAGACATCCGTCCTCTGAAGTTCGGACACCTGACAATGTCATCAGCATTTCTGTGCAACCTCCACTCACCCCACAGTCACATGGGTCGCATTTCCACAGATGACCCCACAGAGCACGTGTGGGCACCAGCTCCTGGGCCTGCGTCCCAGCAAGTAACAGGGGCTCAGGGTCACCAGCTCTGCCCCTAATAAGGGACCTGCTCATCGTGTGTCATGACCCCACGTCCCAGGACACTCCCTGGCTCCTCTGCCCAGACCCAGCCAGAGCTGCTATATAGCAGGACACATGCAAATAGGGCGTCCCCTGCTGCTGAAAACCAGCCCGGCCCGCCCTGCAGCCCACACAGGAGCCCAGCCCACACCCAGGGTCCACTCGGGTCAGCACGGACGCGACACTCGCCATGGAGCGTGGGCTGAGCTGGCTGCTGCTCGTGGCGCTTCTAGGGGGTGATTCCTGGGGCAGGATCCCTGAGGGAGGGCAGGAGGGGAAGCAGTGGGCGAGAGCCATGTCCTGACGGGCTGTGTCTGTGTTTGCAGGTGTCCAGGGTGAGGCGCAGCTGGTGGAGTCTGGGGGAGACTTGGTGCCGCCTGGGGGGTCCCTCAGACTCTCCTGTGCAGCCTCCGGATTCACCTTCAGTGACTACTACATGCACTGGGTCCGCCAGGCTCCGGGGAAGGGGCTTGAGTGGGTTGCATACATTAGTGGTAGCGGTGGTAGCACAAACTACGCAGACTCCGTGAAGGGCTGATTCACCATCTCCAGAGACAACGCCAAGAACTCGCTGTATCTGCAAATGAGCAGCCTGAGGCCCGAGGACACGGCCGTGTATTTCTGTGCGAGAGACACAGTGAGGGGAGCAGGTGTGAGCCCAGACACAAACCCTGCAGGATGGGAGGGTGGGGCTGGGGGGTCCACTGGGGCGTGTCAGGACCCCAGGGGTCCAGGGACTCCAAGAGGACCAGGGGCTCAGAGCTCAGAGCACAGCCCGGGAGCAGGTGCAGGGGTGGGGGGCAGGGGCTTCCTGTCTGGGGCTCCCTCTGCAAGACCCCAGCTCCCCAGGGCACCATTGCTCTCCTCTGAGAGGCTCCTGTTCCCCACATTCCTGGGGAGCCCCAAGGAGGAGGTGACACTTTCTGTGCACAGGTGAGACCTCCCCAGGGACGAGACCCTCACCTGTCCAGGTGTCTGTTACTTACTATTACTGGGGGGACCCGGGGAGGGCGGGTGTGGCCAGACACAGACCCTGCAGGACAGGAGGGGCAGCACCCAGGCCCACCACCAGGGGGCGCCCCGAGCTCACAGCCCTGGACTCAGCTCATGGCTGTGGGGGGACATGGACAGGGACGGGGCCTCCAGCCTCGAGCCGCCGTCCAGTCTGCCCTCTGCCCTCTCCTGGCGGGCGTCCATCCCACTGTCCTCGGGTCCAGCCTGGGGTCACTCCCCCAGTGCAATCTGTTGAATAACGTCTGTGCCTCTGAAATTGTGTCAGAACAACTATTGTCTGTTCTGCACTGAGACCCAGTGGGATCACATCACCGTGGTGTCCACACCCCTGCCACAGGATCTGAGGGGCCCCCAGGAGGCCGATGGGGACTCCTGACCAAGTGGACTGGATCCGGCCCCGGGACCTGATCCCTGACCCCGTGTGGGGACGGTCCCCTGGCAGCTGGCAGGGACGGGGGTCTGACTCTGCCTGTGTCTCTGTCCTGGCCAGACCCGACTCCTTGTCTGAAGGCCCCTGGTCAGCTCAGGGGGTCCCGGGTCTCCTGGCCTGACCTCTGGTGTCTGTGACGGGGGCACCCGCCACGAGAGCTCTCGGGTGGACCCTTCTCTGCAGCGTCTCCCGGGTTCCCAGGACTGTGGCTGCTCAGTGTCTTGTCTGTTTTGGATAAACTTTATTAAAACTTTGCTGCATTTCTGTGAGGTTCTGGTGTATTTCATGGGGACCCATGAGTCTCTGGATCTTCTGGTCACTTCCAGGAACAAGCTCCCTCCTCCAG